GTATTGCTGTGACTTTTATAACGAGTCTTATTGGTTCAAGACAAACTTAGATGACTATGGAGTATGCACAAAAAATGTTTCTGGTACCTAAACAACAGCTTGATCTTTTAAGAAGATCTCCGGCACACGAGTCTATTCAAGAAACTGTTAAAATCATTTTCAAGACTTCTGGAGAATCTTCTCCTCTTATTACTGGACCGCCATCTACACCTCTTGTTACCAGAGAGCATCGATTAGCAAACAATGAAACAAGTCCCTTTGTATCTCCTAAAATGCGATTGAGTGATTGGATTAATTATATATCGTTATTGGTTTTAAATAAATACATAGAGACATAACTTTATCATTTAAGTGTTTTATTTATATCGCCATAATAACAAAAAACATTGTCATACATGTTTCAATCAATAAATCATTTTGATAATGAATGGCACACAACTTCTAATATTATTATACACACTTAAAAGAATCTGATATTTGGACACGCTGGTTACATTCTGCATAATTATTTTGACCACATACAACCGAGGGTCGTATTTTTTCCACAAATTTGCACACCATAAAATCATTGCATGACCGTTTATTACTATATTTAGTCATTACATTGTCATAAGATAATCCTCTATCCATATGGTAAAGAAAAACACACAATGCTGACCGCACACTACAGAATCCACATCTTGCACTTGTCTAACAGAATGTTGCGTGGATTTACAATTACTGTTGAGAAAGACAGAAAAGGATTCAGGAAAATGTGAGTATATCGGAGAGTTCCCAAAACTGTCAAAGAATGATCCCACACCCTGCTTGTCAATATAGATAGCTACCCAGTGTTGTCCTCCCAGGTGGGAGGGGTCTGTGTTTACCACCAACATGACTCTCTTTTTAATAACTGATTTAGGAAGCTGGTCACTAGCAAATACTCCAAGAAAGACACCTTGCTTCACTACCTTATCAAGTACTTTTGACAGTTCTATCGTATTCATACTATCGTTTGTTAAAGTTAGAAAAAGTCTATGAGAACCTGTCTTCTTGATGATATCTCAATTATAGAATCATATGTGGTGTAAATAACCGCATTTAGTGTGCGTTGAAGCAGATTTCTGAAACGAGCCTCTAACGCTACCGTTTTTAATGAGCGACATATGGTCTCTGCATCCTTCATCAGGGCTCAGGTTAAAAAAGAACAGACTATATCCATTACAAAACTCGTCGCGGGTTATGGCCATAGCATTGTTTTTAAGATACTTTGCAGTTGCCGAGTACAATTGATGAAACTCCCTGATGGCATTCCCTCTGGTAAAGTTGGGTTGAAAGGGTTTTGATGGATCTTGTTGGCCGTCAACGTATAAACATAAAAACTCTATATTATAATGGTTAAATGTAAATAGATTACACGCATAACTACCTGTAAATGCCTCATGATCTACAAATCCTACTGCAATAAATTTAGGTATTTGTCCCAAGAATACATTTTCTTGATTACAAACACGAGTGCCCGTTGGGACGCTAAAATTTTTAAGACAGACTCTGTCTATGGGACATTTAATGTTGCCATGCGTTAATGCCTTAGCGTGCGCTGGCTTAACAGCCGTAGATACAGTGACTTTCTTTACAAACAGGCTTGCTGACATAATGTTAACCCGACAGTTGTCTACAGTGTTGCGCATTAAGCAAAATTAGTTTTTATATCTTATGAATTTTATCTTGAGGTCTACTCCATTTATCATTAACATGTCTTGAAAAAACAAGTCAGAATGTAAAGGGGATATTAGCTCCACTATGCGGCCGCCTTGTGTGTACTCCATTCTTTTAACTAGTCCCTCGTTGCGTCCTCCAGCCGTCGCCTCGTCCATATGACCTGCTGTATCCATGCAAAATAGTCCGGATCCAAACTGTATCTGCAGAGCGTCCTTTCCGTAGTTCAAAAGGCACTCTATTATACCCCTGTAAGGATATGTGTTTGATGATTGCATTATGAGTCGGTCCCCCAACGATATGTCAACCTGTGAAAATATTGTACATCCAGGGTAGGGTCTTCTTATTTGTTGTTCGGCTAAGCCTCTTTGGTGGGGAACTCCCTCTTTTCCCAGGAGGTCGTTTTATTGGTCGGGGAGCCACGGTCACTATAAACGACCCCTCTTGACGTCTGTTCATGACGTTAGTAATAACATCTGTAGCTATGTTTTTAGCAGATGTCTTTAAATGAGGGGCAACAAATGTAAATCCTTTCTTGAATAAGGGGATTGATAATCTAAACAATCCCCTAAAGATACCCCCTAACCCTGCACCATACTGAGCTCTGAGGCAAATCACCACCCGCTTGGGCTGTATAATATGCAGCGTACTTGTCTGCATTGTGAGCATATGGATGGTACATGTTTGCTCCTTGTCTAATACCGATATTTTACGGGTCGAAAGTGCAGCTTTATTATCACTTTGCCGTACGTAAAAGGGATATGTTGATTCTGATCTGTCTTGAGAGAAATCTCGATACTATCAATGTGTGTTTTGCAGAGCCTCAGGTAGTGTGGTCTGTCATAAGTATTTGTGATCATATGGATTGTTTGGACCCAATATATGTACTATTCTTAAAAGAGGGACGTAACTATCCCCCTACCGTTTGATGATCAACAACATCGGTACAAACAAATTTATTATACATCCCTACGTTAACATCGGCAGGATGTGGCGCCAAATACTGCATCTGTGTCAACACTGTGTTAGTTTGTGGCTGAGATGTAAATGTTGCAATTCCCTTGTGAGTTTTAAAAGCCGCTCCGGGGATAAATCCCAACATTTGTGCAAGTTTTCCTTGAAACTTTAATTCTACTTCTCTTGTTGGTAAAATGCTTACTCTGTTGGTAATGTTGTTGTAATCAAGCTCAATGTGACCCATGTCGTTTTCAGATAAACAACAACTGTTTAGTTCAGCTATTATCTGTGACATTGTTGTATAGAATCCCTGTCTCGCTGATAGAACTACCCTCTTGTTGGATTTTTTATCAAACACTACAAATTTTGAGTCTTCCGATGAAAACGATTTCCATGTTTTTGGATATTGTATTTCTATCAAACCCACCTCGTATGCTGATTTAAAGTGTAAAACCTTGGATAGTTTTGTTCTAAAGTTTGCTATTGTATTGCTCAGGTAAAATAATGCAGACGAGTTGCTGGGCAGGGTGACAAATAAATCCTCTGTATCCATTTTATACGTGTGTTTGGAAGCTGCTAAGGAAGCTGAATGAATTTTGTTTAAAAATTTTTTCCCTCTTCTGTTTGAATTTTATGTGGGATTCTTCCTTCAGTTAAGATATCTTTAAAGGATGCTGTGACGCATTTACCACTCTTATTTTTTAAACAACGCACCCATGCGTGTTTTGAAAACAAATCTATACACGTTAACAAATAGCGTACCCCATCATTTTCAGCAGAATAAGCGGACATGTTAACTAGATCTATCTGGAATTGCCAATCTATTGAATTCACTAAAACCTTGTTTCTCTTTAAATGCACTGGAGCCGCCTTGTGTAGAGTATAGGCATCTTGCTTCATGAGCCAGTTTTCTACGTCTGAATCTGCGTACCGAACTCCAGTAGTGTCAAACATGGCCTTTTTAAGTTTTTGCTTGCCCGTGTTTTCTGCCGCATAGTATATATTTCTCATCACCTCCTCCATGATCTTTGTTACAAAGACTGATGCTTCAACGTCTGTGTTCAAGTATTTTATTTCCAACGACATACGCAACAAATCCGTCAGCAATGATTACAAGTATACACTTTTCAGAAAATCAGTACAAGCACCTATGTTTTTACAAACCAAAGATTCAGTTAAGCAATACATCTCATCAGCAACATCGACATGTTGTTTTCTGGTTAGCATTAAAACACACAAATCAATGCTAAAAGTACAAAAAGCACCATGGTACGCCATGGAACAACATAGTATCCTATCTGTGTCACATAATAAGCTACGGTTACCTGTACAATACCACTAGCAGCAGTGTTAGGAGATGTGTCTTTGTCGCAACAGTCCAGAGTGTCCAAACAGGCACCCTTAAACGGCTTGGCCCTGCTCTTGTCCTCTTCTGCTTTTTCTTCAGGCCTTTATTTACTACTGTTGTTGATATCTCTGACAAAAGACAAACCAATCCTCTGATTGTAGATTAGTTTTCTAAAAAGAATAAAGAGTTGAAAACTTTAGCTACACTGCTTTTTGAACATTATACTATATTTAAAAGAAATTCTTATAAATTGTTCTACATAAAATAACGTTTGGAAGCGTGAAAATAATTTGAAGATTAATGAGGAACTGAAATGGCCAGTTTGCTGCAATATTCTGCTTCCTTTACCCTGTTGTTAATGACACAAGAAACATTACAGTAAAGTCTGAGGATGTCGTTTGAGGTTTGACTGTTTAAAGTAGTCCTGTATTGAGAGTGAGCCATGAAACATGAGCTCTGATGATGTACCAGAGACTTGAAGGTGTTAAAATAACTTCATGTTTCCTTATAAGTGCATAAAAGCATCCTGGGTCGGAATTAACCGCTGTCCTCCTAAAACACCTTTATTTTGGCAGAATTAGTTCAGTCCATTTTGTAAATAAGTGTTTAATTAGATTCTTACCTGATGATGGTCTGAGGACCAAAGCATCGATAGTAAAGTAAAGTTCTTTCAGTTTCTGATCCAACGCACCTCTCTATAAGACTTTTTCTTTGCTCTGCTTGTCAAGTCCAATGATATCACTTTTTCACTTCGTTAAATGTAGTGCAAAGGTTAGTGATGGTGTATATTTGTCTGATAACATAACAATATGGCTGCAACTGAAGAATAGTTATATATGAGAAGATATCAACTGGGGCAAGCAGATTTCTTGTTGTTTCTGGAGCTTTTATGATAACTTTGCAACAGCTGACTGTGTTAACTCTAACCGCTTCCTCTTTCCACTCAGCTGTACTATTTTAACAACACTCTGCTTGGTGAGAGTTTTCACACCTTCTTATTTGCAGCTGATCACTAAGAGAAGACATTTCAGGCTGCTAAGTGTAGGATGTGCATGTTTGCTATTGAATAAAGTAGAGAGGTTTGTCTGGAAGCTGCTGACTGGGTCAACAGAGGCTGAACACTGACGAGACATGGAAGCTGTGATTGGACTGTTGCTGATGCTACTCAGAGTCTCTCATGGTGAGCTGATGAACTTGTTTAATTTGACACATTTTATGCAGCTAGTGTAAGTACATTCAAAAGGTTACATCATCTTCAGTGATGTGTTTTGCAGCTCACACACTGACCCTTGACTTAAACCAGAGTCATTTTATAGAGAACAAAGAATGTTTTACACCACAACATTGAGTAGGCTATACTTTAGTAACTAAAGTCAAACTGTTTTCCAGTCATAGGGTTGTGAAATATTATCAATTCACAAATATAATATATTCAAGCATATTGTGGTCTAAAATGTATTTAGATTTTATTTATAATGTATTGCACTAGTATAGTCTCAGTCTTTCATATATATTATCACACTGCATAATAATATGTATTATTGGATTATTATCACTGATGTATTACCATGTAAGTAGCATTTTAATGTTGACATCGTCACACACTTTCGATTGGTTTAATTGTTGTCAATACATCATATATTGTATTTTTTCTATGTTGTATTTATGTTAAATATTATTCTGAAAAGTAACCACTATGCAATAGTAAAAAGTTAAAAAGTAGTAAACAATATTTTCCACAACATTGTGAAGTAGAATCATAATGTAGCATGTTTCATGAAATGTTTTCTATAAAAGCATGTTTGTATGTTAGTGCAAATTACTCAAAACTGTACTTGCACAATAAGAATGTCCTGTTTGCAAACTGAAAGGAATTATTTGATCAAAATTGTTTACCTTTTTTTTTTACAACTCATTTTGCAAAAATGTATTACAGATGTTAGTTGAGCCTTAACTGTTTTGCAATCACAGGCCGGGCGTAACGGTCAGCTGCACAACAATAAACGTATGTGTGCAGTGACGTCTGAGAGACACCAAACTATTATTACTAATATTATTTGCTTTAGATCAGTATTTGCATTTACCAAAAATGTTGTCACAGTCAGTCATTTTGTAGAAATAAAATTTGTGTGATATTTACATTTTTTCAATCTAATTTATAACATTTCCAGGTGTGGAAACATGTGATGGCAGACAGGATGGAGCTCAGTGTTATGGAGCTTTGGGAGGAACTGTGGTCCTCCAGCTGAAGGACAGCGCCTCAGAAATATTTAGATACCAATTGTTAAGCAACAGAACAGTAATACTTCAAGGGAGAAAGAATCAGATTCATTTTAATCTGATAGAAAACAGATCCTCATTTACTCCCAGTAATGGAACATTTCGGATCAACAAATTGAACTGGACTGATGGTGGTGAATATACTGTTGTAATCTTTGATTCAAATGGACAGAGATCAGAGCTGCGGACTCTAAATTTGACCATTCAAGGTAAATAACAATTTTTGCCTATTGTGGTCTTTAGTGGTATATTAGTGATAGACATACATGTTATTTTGTTGCTAAACTCACACTGGGTGGTGATGGCGTAATGGATAAGGCACATGCCTTTGGTGTGAGAGACCCAGGTTCATTTCCCCACTATGGGTTAAGTTGCTCCAGAGGCGTGCGACCTCTGACGTTTGTAAGTCGCTTTGGATAAATGAATAAGTGTAAATGGAAACTTCATATATCTCCTATTCTACATGTATCTGTAAATATGCCTGTTATGTATTAGAATCTGTATAGAATAACCAAGTCTTAATATGAAAAGTCATCTGAGTGTGTTTCCTTCAGCTCCTGTGTCCTCTGTCCTGCTGGTCTCTGAGTGTCTGTCCCAGGGAGAGATGAGGGTGTCCTGCTCCTCTGAGGGAGGGGACAGTCCTCAGTACAGCTGGACTCTGGATGGACACACACTGACAGACGCTCAGCTCCTCTCTGGAAACAATGAGAGTAACAACATCACTTTGAAACAAGACGTGTCAGGACAGCTGGTCTGCTCAGTCAGGAATAACGTCAGTAGTGTCTCCAAAAAAGAGAAGATATCTACCTGTGGTGAGTAGAAAACAGTTTGATTAGTATGACGGACTCTGATTATTAACTGTACATCATTTATCGTTTCTTTTCCACAGGCTTCATATTCATTAACTGCACCATCAATATGACACACATATCACAGTGGGTGCTTGAAGCCAATAACACCCTGTGTATTGAACCAACAACAACACCTACCATGATCACAGACACTGAGACCTCCACTGACAGTAAGGACACTGTCATCATAATGTTTATTAAATCTTCCACTCACATCACACCTGCCAATCTCTATCTAAGTGAAAACTAACTCTCCTGTCACAGCAATAACTTGACAATAGATTTTTGTGTCTCTTTTCTTGAACAGATCGCTCCCAGCTCATATGTGGTGTGCGAGCAGCTGTGGTGATTCTTTTATTAATTGGGATCGCCATCTATTTTGTTTGGAAGAAAAATAAATATCAGATAGCTGAAGGCTCTGCCGACCCTCGAACAATGAAATATCAAGAGAACTCTGTTGTGATGGTTGAAATGAGAAGTTCTGCATCTGAACTTTAACTTTCTGAAACCAACACCTCAGTGTCGCCCCTCACACCTGCTGTGATTGGCCTCATGTCTTTCTGGATGTGAAAACAGGGTTTAGAGTGGAAACTCTGTTCACTCTGTCACTTCACTGGTTATTGACTTGGTGAAAGTAGGATCAGAGTTTCAGTACGCCGCTGCCTTTGGAGAGTGATAAATCATCCAGAGGCCACTGCTCCACACAGCACAGTTTATCCTAAAGCAAAATGTGACGTTGTGAATAAAGCTGATTTTGTCATTAGCAGTAAATTATTAGAATATAGACTTCCACAGTGTTGCTGTCCAATAAAAACAATGCATCACCAAATGTAATGATTTAGATTTTTTTAGACACATTAAAGGATGAATTGTTTCTTCATGGGTTGAGAACATTCTCCCACTTCTTCAGGTAAATCAGCCATTTTGAAACACACTGGATTATCTGAAAAACTGTCACAAAATTGGAAACAGGGATATTTTTATTAGGAAAGAAAAGTTAATGTTTTTAAGATAAATTGCTTAAACTTTTGTATCTGTACATGACTTTATGGTTATGTATATTTTAGAAATGGTGATTTTGTATTCAAATCATGGTATTAACTTTGTTTAGTAAAATCAAAACTGTGTACAATTACAGTTAATGGCATTTTCACATATATGATTAAAGTGATTAATTGCTGGATTATGTAAATAACAGTTTTGTTTTTTCTTATTTGATTATACTTACAAATATATGTCTGTTTTGCTAAGAACAATAATGTAAAACCATTCAAAACATTTAATAGTAGGAGTTTCTGTTGTTTTGTAATAAAAACCTGTTACTGTTGCTTTTGGATAATTCTGTATTTGGTAAAAAAAAAGATCAATATTATAATAATGATTTAATCTTCTTCACTGGATATTGACTGTAACACATGCTGCGAGTGCAATGTCGGAAGTCTTTTATTTTAGAGCATTTGACTTTAATCAACAGTTGCCAGTGGAGGGCGTCAGAAACTAACAAGACGGCAGAGAGAGAGCTGTGGGGGGTGTTTACACGAGGAATTACACACTTTAAACCAGTAACATTGACGAGAAATAGTTTGAGCTGTGGGCCAATAGTGCAGCGTGAATGTACATATTTTAGCTCCTTCTGTTTGTGTCAGAAATGAGGAACTGAAATAAGCAGTTCAGTCGATTAATCATCTAACTTTGCCATATTGACAACAACACAACAACCATCACACAAACCAACGTCTCCACAAAGCTTTCAGCATAAAGTTAAACTGTACAGTTTGATGAGGTCGAGCACTGAAAATAATACATTTGTCTGACAGCTGTGAGGACTGTTGGTAATCACATGTGTTAAACTGGCTTCTAAAATAAGCAGGCTAGATATTGAACAGTTGTCATCCCCAAATTCTAGTTAGATGTCAGAATTTTGCTTTGTTCAGTCAGTCAACCAATTATGGGGGGAAAGCCTATTCATGCCTTTTTAAAAATGTTGTTGATATATACCTCTGAAAAAAGACAAACGAATAATCCTCTGTCAAAGGAATAAAGGGGAATGTCTTAGGTGGATTTATATGGGTAGTATTGCCAAGTATACTGAAGGCAAGAAAGGCATTAATTAGCCGATAATAAAGTCTGAAAAGTCACTGTATCTAGAGGTTTACATTATGTAAAATATAATATTGCTATATCTATCATAGCATTGTTACTGCAGTATTCAATTATTCTGAATCACATGATAAAAACTCAATAATCACTAAATGTTTTAATTTGCTTAACTGTTTTTGTGGATCATTATGAATATTCAGACAATGTATTTAAGTGTTGAACACTCAGTGTTGTCTTTATTTATCTGAAATTTCTCCTTATGTAGCTTTTTTAAATGAATGTGTAAATCCAATACACACAATTCTGGATTTCTTTAATGCAATGTTATACACATTTCTCTGTTATTTTGAATTATTTGACTTCACTGTCTAAACCAGAATTTAAAATACAACTTGGTGTGTGTTATTGTGCAGTATGTGTTCAACATGTTCTCATAATAGCTTGTGGGTTAGGCAGGGGCAGTTTGAAAAGTTGAGACAGAATCTCAGGCTGTGAATTTTGATTAAATGTAACTTGTTATCAATCATTTAGAGAAAAAAAAACTAAAGATGCATCAGATGCTTGTTTTGTCAGTCTCAAATCCTCTTTCAGTGTAAAGGAGGAATGTTTCCCTCTCTTCCACTCAGTCCATCACACCCAAAAGTCTTCTTGTTCTGAGCAAAAAAGGAAGTGAAACTGACATCACTTCCTTTTCTCCTCATTGCCTATAAAAAGGTGAAAACAACAACACTCTGTTTTTTCAAAGTTTTTACACACTCTCCTGTGAGGCTGATCATTTTCAGGACACATTTGAGGCTGTTCAGTGTAGAATGTGCAGGTTTGCTTTTGGGTGAAGGAGAAAAGTGTGAGTAGAAGCTGCTGACTGGGTCAACAGAGGCTGAAGACTGAGGAGACATGCGAGCTGTGATTGGACTGTTTCTGATGCTACTCGGAGTCTCTCATGGTGAGCTGTTAAACTTACAACTAACTAACTAACTAACTAACACATATTAATACAGGAACTTCTTGCACAGCTATTTGTTTCAAGTACAGTCGTGAGTATAGACAGTATGTTCACTGATATGTATAATGCAACTCAAATACTGCAGGTTTGAAACCACCTTTTCTGAAGAAATTACCACTTTTATTGATAAATTAAGATATGAGAATCAACTGATGACTGCAGCAGTTTGTAACTGATATTAGAGCTTTTCTAAGATTCAGTAACATTTTCAATCTTGTTATTTCCAAGAGCAATAAAAAATCCAGAGATCAATTTGACTTCATTGTGCAATTAGAGTAAAAATTCCAATTATGAGTTTTTGAAAATCAACCAATAAATTATTCATTATAGTGCTTCATCCCCGACTGTTTTGATTTTCCCCTTAATTTCTTCCTTAGGTCACTTCAAGTTTTCTGCTATTTTCTAAAATAGTTCTGTAGGTGTGTATAAAAAACAACAAAAAAACAGCAGGAGTTTGTCATGGCATGAGTGAAGATAACAGCTAACAATATGAAAACAAATGTATTATAGATGTTAGTTGAGCCTTAACTGTTTTGCAATCAAAGGCCGGGAGTAACGGTCAGCTGCACAACAATAAACGTATGTGTGCAGTAACGTCTGAGAGACACCAAACTACTATTATTTGCTTTAGATCAATATTTGCATTAACCAAAAATATTGTCACAGTCAGTCATTTGTAGAAATAAAATTAGTGTGATATTTACATTTTTTAAATCTAATTTATCACATTTCCAGGTGTGGAAACATGTGATGGCAGACAGGATGGAGCTCAGTGTTATGGAGCTTTGGGAGGAACTGTGGTCCTCCAGCTGATGGACAGCGCCTCAGAAATATTTAAATACCAATTGTTAAGCAACAGAACAGTAATACTTAGAGGGAGAAAGAATCAGATTTTGTTTAATGTGATAGAAGACAGATCCTCATTTACTCCCAGTAATGGAACATTTAGGATCAACAACCTGAGCTGGACTGATGGTGGTGAATATACTCTAGAAATCTTTGATTCAAATGGAAAGAGATCAGAGCAGCGGACTCTACATTTGACCATTCAAGGTAAATAACATTTTTTGCCTATGGGGGTCTTTAGTGGTATATTGATAGACATACATGTTATTTTGTTGCTAAACTCACACTGGGTGGTGATGGCATAATGGATAAGGCACATGCCTTTGGTGTGAGAGACCCAGGTTCATTTCCCCACTATGGGTTAAGTTGCTCCAGAGGCGTGCGACCTCTGACATTTATAGCGTTTGTAAGTCGCTTTGGATAAAAGCGTTGGATAAATGAATAAGTGTAAATGGAAACTTCATATATCTCATATTCTACATGTATCTGTAAATATGCCTGTTATGTATTAGAATCTGTATAGAATAACCAAGTCTTAATATGAAAAGTCATCTGAGTGTGTTTCCTTCAGCTCCTGTGTCCTCTGTCCTGCTGGTCTCTGAGTGTCTGTCCCAGGGAGAGATGAGGGTGTCCTGCTCCTCTGAGGGAGGGGACAGTCCTCAGTACAGCTGGACTCTGGATGGACACACACTGACAGACGCTCAGCTCCTCTCTGGAAACAATGAGAGTAACAACATCACTCTGAAACAAGACGTGTCAGGACAGCTGGTCTGCTCAGTCAGGAATAACGTCAGTAGTGTCTCCAAAAAAGAGAAGATATCTACCTGTGGTGAGTAGAAAACAGTTTGATTAGTATGACGGACTCTGATTATTAACTGTACATCATTTATCGTTTCTTTTCCACAGGCTTCATATTCATTAACTGCACCATCAATATGACACACATATCACAGTGGGTGCTTGAAGCCAATAACACCCTGTGTATTGAGCCAACAACAACAACAACACCTACCACAGTCACTACTGCGGGTAAGGACCCTGGCAAAGTGTCAATTAAATCGTCCACTAATATCACATCCTCCAATCAAACTCCCAGCAGAGATGTCCCATGGTACATCAGTAAGTGATAACTAACCCTGCTGCAGTGGATTTATTAAACTAATTTCCCCTTTTCTTCTTTGTGTGTCTTCACCTGTAAAGTGTGTTAACTTAAAGATCTGTGTGTCTTTTTGTGTCTTTTATTACGGAAATAGACAATTTGACAATAATCGCCGGCGTACTTTCTGCACTGGTAATTCTATTAGTGGCCGGGGTGGTAGTCGTCTGTGCTCACAAGAAAAAGGAAAACAACAAACCAAAAGGTACTAAACAAAACTTTCCTGAACCATCATTGCAGTTTTCTCATCTATCTCTCAGTAAGAAAGCGTATTTCTGATTATGTAAAACTATTCCTTTAACAATTGACTTCTGATATCAGAAGTGATGTCGCCTTTTCTGTACTGATTGTATCTAATCATTAAATATGATACATTTGTGCTTCACTTCCTTTTACTCTGCAGAAGAAGAAGATGAACAAGAATTAACCTATGCTGATGTCAGGGTCATGCAGCGACCTGGGAGGCAGATGCAGCAAAAAGAAGAGGTGGAGGTGGAGTACGGCCAAGTCAAGATTTCAAAGCAACCTCGGCAGACCGTTGAACCAGCAGTAGATGAATGTGTGTATGCCAAAGTCCGCAGAGGCAGGTGATTCAGTGTTCACTGCACCGCTGAAGGCAGGTGGAGGAGGTGTGCCAAGATGCCTGAAGGTCTTTCACCTTAATTTAATGTGATTTCCAATAGGAAAATAAAAAGCCATCAGTGCTCATATTATTTTATTCACCTTTACTGTACTTCTGGGTTGTGACTGAGCATCAAAGTATCAGCTCCAGCATTTGAATCACAGTGTGGCTAGTTTTTATAGACTAGATTATGTATTATGACTATTTAATATTTTCTTAAGAATGTATTTTACCACAATTTTAATATCTCTTATCTTTAGATTATGTTCCACTTCCTCATTTTTACTTGTGTCTAATTTATGAGCATATTTACTTTTATTTCATAGTTAAAACTGAAAACTTTTAATAATGATAATACAAATTTTAAGAACAAAAATGTCTTTGCAATGTATTTTTTGTATTAGCCTACAATGATTGGCAGACATGAACCGTACTCTAAAGTGCCTGAAAAAGTGGCATCAGTACTTTTATAATGTTGGTTAATCAGCTGTGTTTACATGTCATCGAAAATGGCTACTTTTATCTTCATGTCAAAGTAATAAAGTCTGCATTTACTTAAATCAAAATCTATTTATTCAACAGATGTTGATGGATGAGTCAAGGGTCAAAGTTTATCAAACAAACTAACATGCTCTTGCATTTGTAGATTTATTAAAGGTTCGGTGCAGTGCGTGAGTGTTATTATCAAATTCAACCAAGCTGTCTTCCTTTGATTTTCTGTCTTGTCTCTGAGGAAGTTCACAGTCTGCATGAATTTGTTTCCATGAGGTAAACACTTCTGCTTTTTCTCAGTATTGGTTCGTCAGTTACATGGTGTGATTTTCAACGGTTGTTAAAACCAGTTGTGGCTGATGACGATAATATATCCCTTTAATGCAATAAATATGAGTGGGTGTGTAGTTTTAATTGTGCTGCTTGCTCTAATACTTTAGTTAATGAGGGAATTAGTCTATTGTAGATGATCCAGACGTAGATAACGTTCTGTATTTTCATCTGAAATTTGAAATACACTTCCACTTTTCACAGTGTTTCATAATACAGTCATTTAGCAGCAAAGGAGGAACACCTTTTATATAAAACAGTGTTGTTTTCTTCTTTTTTCTGCTTTACTGTAACAAGGACAAAACTGAGATGGACAAACCATCGTGTTCTTGTTGAATTCAGTAAAGTCAAGCATAGGATGTTAAAGAGGAAAGGGACCTTACAGCTTATCAGATTCTGAGCATGTGATGTGTTTATCGTTTACCACCATCAAATCATGTTTTCTATAATTAGTTTGATGAGTTTCCTTTGACTTTGTGGCTGCCAGTTTAGAATGTAGGGGTTGCAACAGTTTGTACATCTATGTTACTCAACTGAGTTTTGGTAATTTCAGGCTCAAACTTTCAGGTCATGGAGGAAAATCAATGTTCCTAATGGATATTTGTTGTAAATAGAAAGTCAGTTGAACACAGTGCTGCTGAAGATGTTTCATGATCTAATATTAACCCGTTTGTCAACAGACAAAAACATTCATGATTATAAATACACCCCTTTGTCTGGAATTACAGTTATATACGATAGAACACATTCACTGACAGGTTGTAAGTGCATACAGGAGAATTTACGTGAGCTACCAGTAACTTATCTGCACATTCAAGATTCAAAAGTTTTATTTTTAGAGCATCAGAATCAGAATCAGCTTTAATGGCCAGGTATGTGTGCACACGCTAGGAATTTGGATTGCATGTTGCTCTTGATGTATATACTCGATGTACATGAGAAAATCTTAGAATCTTGATCTGAACACTACATTGTCCTCAGCATAATTCCCTGCCTGAAAGATTGCTTTGCAATAATCACAGAACATAACACAGTACTACATGTTAACTGATTTACGTGAGCATTCAGAAGAAATTTGATAATGCCATTCAAAACACTACATATATTTCAGTTTGGTTGCTGCAGAAATGCATAATTCTGTTTTGAATGTGTTTTAACAATTTTGGACACAGAGCAAACAGCATTTGCAAAATGTGCTGCAAGTAAATTGTTTTTTCGGGTGGTGGAGTAGCAATGAGAAAAGAGTTCCTCAATTTTGGAGACAGTGGTCATTGAATGCATTTTGTGTGAAAGCAACGAAAAACTATTCATAGTTTGGTACTCGCTGACTGTGTGAAGAGTTTTGACCACTGCATGTTAGCAATTGAAAAAAATTAATGTAAATATAACTAGACAACTAACTAATTTAAATATCAATCAGACTCTTGGCTTTCCTGCCTCTTTTAAAAGACCCAATTTTGTGCAGCTTACATGCTTCAACCCAGAAAATAAACAACAAATAGCGAGGGAAGAAACAAATAGTTAAATAGTGGAAGGCATCAGCTAGTGGAATGATAGTTAATTAAGCTAATGCATGAAGTTAGTACTTGTTCAAACCCTTAGACACAGGAGAATGTACAAAGGCACTCATAGTGAACATTTTGGAGAAATAACTTTTATATTGTCAAAGCTGTAATCAGATGCAGGTAAAAAGGCTCATTGCTGTTGCATCTTCTAGCAGCCTTTTGGTACGTGCATGCCTGATTCTCAGCTCAGTCTCACCATCCAAAACACTTTAAGATCTCTTTGTATAATATACATTTTTACAGTGCAGTTTAGTTTATTGGAACTTTAGTTTTAAATGAAATATATAAAAAAGGATTTTTATTAACCTTATTAACAATGAGTTTTTTCAATGTTAATACTGATGATATTTTCATTTTTTTGTAGTTAAGGTGAGACCATGTGCTTTTAGTGGTTGTGCGTTTAATCAAAGACAGAGGTTACTTGATTTGTTTGGTTTGATAGCTTGAGGTTAAAGGTTGACAAGCATAGACTGCCATTCAGCTGATTCACAGAGCAATAAAATTGGTGTTTATGGTTCATGATAGTTGTCCTCAAACAACCACCTGCAACCCTTTTTTTAGTTGAACCTTCCTGTTGAAACACAGTTGAACTTCTATCTGACATAATCTACTGAGCAAATAATTGACAACACAGAAGAAGTGTAATAAAGCTGTTCCAACAATCCAGTATGCTTCTGCCATCAGATCAGTCAGCCAGTGCTGCTTATTACAATACAATACCTGCAAGGGTACCAAATTGTTCAGTATTGTTGCAACCTTTTAGTGTGTTAAATTTTCATCATAAAAACAAGGTGATTTTGTCATTCTCATGACACAATCATGTGATGTTACATTGCCATGCCACAGCACTGTACGCACAGAAATTCCTTCTCAAGCGCCAGGCATTGCAGGACATAGTTGCCAATTCTTCAATCCCAGAGTTTTTGATAAATGGCATCCTTTAGGTGACTTATAATTTAATATTTAAAGAATTTGTCAGAGAGTAGAGAGTAGAGAAAATCATTTGATTTAGCATGTATTCTAGTCTTTGTACAGTACAGTTGTCAACATGTTGTTGGGAGATACAAATGTTTCTATGAAAAGATTAGTCAGAGGATAAATTAAGACTAATATTGTTAATATTGTTTTATAATTCAATGAATATTATTGTTATTATTATTAAATAATTTTATAAAAATTGTGTCGTAATTCCATTAAATTAATGTTATAGTTAGGTAATTGTGTGGGCTAATAAAGCTTTATACCATTGGTATTTCTTCATAGCCTGCGTGAACTTGAAGGATCTTTTCTCTGTAGAAATGTTTCAGAAGTTGAGTAATGAAAGCACATAGAGCTGTTGAAAGTGCGAAAGAACAGAAAATACAAATCAGATCAATAACCCCTGTACTGAGCATGCTTTTTATAAAATGTGCAATGAAACATGTTTTATAAGCAACACAAACTTCAGCCTTGTAAAAACACAGTATTGAGATTAACGGTTGAAAGGCAAAACAAGGAAACTATTTCACTGACAATACAGGAGTTGCAAAAAGGTGGTGATACAGTGGTTTATTTTGAAAGCAGCTTTTGCAATTTTCTGACTGGTCAGTACAAAGTTTACATTTGTCACTTTTCCTTCCTCTTCTGTGACCTACAAACAGGAACAATCAAAAGTGTGTTAACATGTCAAATGTCTTAGTATAGTACATACTTTAACAATTTTTATACACACAGTAGTCCAAAAGAAGGAGAAGCAGGACTTTATTTCACTTAAAATGTTGCGTGTTTAGCGGTACAATGACTGTAGATGTTGAGTCATGCGGCAGCAGTCTTTCAGGATGTGGCTAAACACTGCTGTCTGAACATCTTATTTCACTGTCATTTTCAACCATTTTTCATCTCAGTTCCTTGTTGTTATCAAGAGGTGGTGACTAAATTAATGAACAAAACTATAAAGTCAAATTAGGGGGGAAAATGTCACCAAATGTTTCATAGTATACAGCTGTTTAACAATGAATTCCAAATGACAACATTTTTGTACTCTCATTGCTTTTACTTCCTGTTTTTAACATTTCTGTGCTTTCACCCTTTACATTGTGCTATAAACAGCTGCTTTCTGAAACCCATTGGTTTATATTTCTGAAAGATCTATTCCCAAGACACACCCTGCATCAATATTTCAACAGAAAGAACATTAAAGCGGTGTTGAACTTTGGCATCACATCTTCATAGTAACAAACGCAACACTCTTTGCGCTCTTTCTATTTCCTGTAAATTCTAACAGTCATAAAGAGAGGAATTAACATACTTTTACATCCCCAAAAATAAGTAGCAGGGCTATGCATTATTCATTGTAATTTCTACTTATTTGCAAGTATGATTTTCCATTGTCCTCTTGCAGTTAGAGCAAATAGAAACTCATAAAAAATAGACACATTATTCCTTTTTCTTATTCATGAAGCAGATTCTTGACTATACAGATGCACTCGCACTCTATAAACCAATATACAGACACATTTGACACAAATGCCTTTTCATTGTGACTTTAACCACAATTCTTGAAGAAGGCACACATGTGTGACAAATGACACTTTATCCAGTGATTCTCTGTCTTTAAAATCAGTTTCTCTGTGCTGCTAATGAGCCATATTAACACATTAACTTCCAGTGATTGGCAAATGTCCACTAGAGATGATCAATGATCAACAGACAGACAGTGCTTGTCATGTAAAGGCAGGAAGTGCTGCATTATATCATCATGTTGATGTGAATCGTCTTCATTCATTCTGTGGTAAACTTATAAAACAAACTATGTACATATTTAATGCTGTATCCGTCGTCCATGTAAAATCCACCTAGTATTCCTCTGATATTGTGTCAGACAAAAGATTGCTGCTGGGGCTGGTGGTGATGTGGGTGTCAGCGGGTCCACCCAGCGCAGGTGGGTGGGTGTAGTTGTGGAGGCCTGCTGGGAATGCTGCAGCTTCTTCTTGTTTATCTTCCTCTCTTTGGCTCGTCTGTTCTGAAACCAGATCTTCACCTGAAACATACAGGAGATGCTCACAAACATGAGATAGAAGCATCAGAAACACACTTAGTAGAGAAGGACTCTTACTGGATGTTATTAAATATGATCAGAATATCAAAGGATGATGCATTATCTCTTCTGATGCTTTTCCACTGACTTATCTCTTGGGCCTTTATCGTCGAGTTTGTTATCTTGAGCGGATGCTGAACTGTAATGATTTTGCTTTTTTTGGTGTTCACTTTATTGTACCCTGCCCCGCCTACTTCTGCTTCAGGTTAGTAATTTCCTTCTTTCCCAGAATTACTTTGTTGCACTGTGGGTTTAACAAGCAGAATGAGGAGGCAGAGAAAAAACCCCCACCAATAACCATCATGAGAACAAGAGGGAGGGTTTCACCATTAACACTGCTAATGCGAGGTTTTGTTTGGCCATAGAAGATTATGGTTTCCAGAGGTTTCTGCTGGTTGATTGTTGAGGAGCTTTCTGTGCTGTGTTAATATCAACTATAGGTGACAAAATGTGTCCACTTAACCACGATGGTGAGGAAAATACAGCACCAAGCAGCTAATTGGACTGAAAACAATGTTCTACTAGCTGTATTTTTACATGTGCAAGTTTTTATTTCCTAACTCTCACTTTTCACCACTGCCCCCTCCCCAGCTCACACAAACAGAAAAGCAGAAACAAGAGGGCCAACCGAAAAAACAGAGAAAGAAAGACAAAGAGAAAGCTGCAACCTCCCCCATGTTTATTAATATCTACCCTATTACACATACTCACTCCTGAAAGGAGGCACTCTTCCTTTATTATATTTTTCTGGGCCCAGTCCTTAAAATGAGGCTATGTGACTTTTGATGATATCTCTTACTAATTAAACCTTTATTCATTAGTGATAAGACACCCCTTTCTTAATCCAGTGCACCCTGTGGTTTTGGTGCTACAGCCTTACTTGCTCTGGTTTGGGTTTTCTAACAACGCTGACTTTTTCTTTACATTTGCTCCTGCCTTTTTCAATCAGTCCTTTGATTCTCCCTGTTCTCTCTTGTAACCCTTCCTGTGCTTCCTCCTCCTCCCCTCCTTATCTTTTTTACCTCTAACTTTAATTAGTCCTCTCACCTGTCTCTCAGAGAGGCCCAGTGCCATTGACAGCTCGGACTTCCTCCTCATGGTGATGTAGCGGTTGCACTGAAACTCCTTCTCCAGCTCCAGGCGCTGCTGGTCAGTGTACACCACCCTGTACTTGTCCTTGGTGCGAGTCTTCACTCCTGAATCACACAAAACAACCCTTGATTTAGTAAAACAATAAACCAAGTTTGGCTGATTGACCGAATGTAAGTGAATAAGTGTGTTATGCGCTCCAGTGTATT